TAGTTTAATTGTCCGAACCACAGAACCACTATTTGAGACTTACACGAGATGTTTAAAGTAGGTGAAAAATAAATTTTTTGAGGGCAGCTAAAAATTAACTTCTTTATATTATACTTAAGTCATCTGAATCAAAATAACACACTATTTAGTTATACCATGTACTATCCTTCACCAATTAGTAAACTTGGTATTAATGTTCATCTTCACCCTGTTGTTCATAGTCACGGTAATTCACGGTAATTCACGGTAATTACCCTAAGAAATTATACATTTGTTTCTGAAATGTTGTTCATAAACTTTAGAATTTTGATTTCAATTTTCTGTAGAAAACATGTAAAATATTTTTTAGTAAATGCAAAATAATTAATCATTTATTAAGAAATATTTAATGCATTTAGATAATTATGATATTTCGTTAATATAGTATTTCATAATTATATGATGATACTTCATTATTATATTTCATTATGATATTTATAATATTTTGATATTTCATTATTAATTCTAAACGCATTAAGCATTTATTAGGAAACATTATACTATTATTTTTCTTTTTTTTTAATTATAAAGTTGTGTATTATTTAAAAGTATATACTATTTTTTTTAAATAAATTACAATGAAAAAAATGTAATATTTTGTTCACCTGAAGCTAATGTAACAACTTATTGATCAATTGTCAATGACTCTGTTTTTAATCAGAATCTTGTTGCAGTTGCAGCTGACGAAAGCAATTGCGTGAAAAAGTGGTAAGTGTTTTGTTATATTAATAAATTTGCTTGTTTAGTAAACATTGAAATTTACAACTTTAATATCAGACCTTTTTATAAATAAAATTATTTTAAAGTTAAAAAATTTTGCTCATTGAAAGAAAAAATGCATTACCTATAGCATTGTATGAGCAAAATCTTGTGGTTTACATGATTCTATTTATACCTTATTTGTCTGTAATTGTTATAGGGAAAGTTCAAGTACACAATCAGATATATTTCGGTCTTATAATAATAGCCTCAGAACTGTGATCACTTATCCCTTAAAAGATTCCAGAATTGGCATTGACAGCAACTACAAGTAAACAAAAATGTTCATTTACGTGACTAGATTATTTATTTACTAGTCGAAAAGGAAACATCGTAATAGCTGATTAGGCGGAGCCAGCATTTGAACATCTAATCCTGCTGCTGCGGCCAATAATTATTCCAACTTTATAACAGTGCTTTAACCAACTGAGCTACCATTATTGACAATCTTTGTATGCTTAGTTTAGTTATTATATCATCTACATCAGAAGAAATACTAAACACCAGATCCAGAGAAATTTTTCTATTCAGTTGTTCTTTTGAATAACTATTCAAATAATAATGAGATATTCTTTTGAATAATTATTCAGCTAAAAGAACTTCAGTCTTTTCTACAACTATGACTGATGTAAGATCAATTTATTGGTACTTTTACAAAGAACAATGTCAAAAAGGTGTAAAGTATTAAAGCTTAATAGACCATTCGTTCAATTTCATTCCAAAACAGATTTTAATGATGAAAGTATAATAATACAAAACAAAAATAAAAAAAACCTCTAAACTTGATCAAGCTTCATTTTTTTGTTCGAAAATATTCTACTATTCGTTTCTTCTGTAGTTAATGTAGATATCAATATTTTTTGTGAGTTTTCTTTAAGAATTTCACAACCTCTTGAGATGGCATTTATATTTTTTGTATTTTTTGCTAATGTGCTTTTTACATTTTTATAGCTTATTTTACAAATACAATGATAGTTTTTTGAATAAATTAGTTTTTCTATTATAAAATTTCTATATGTAGGCTAACCTCTGTTATTTTTCCCTTATTATCCCATAGATTATTTTTCATAAAACCATCATCATAGGATGAATACTTTTGTGTGATACCATAGAGACATAAAATATACACGCTTAATGAATTAGGAAGTAATTCCTCAGTAAAATCTTATAAGGTTGTGCCCATTTTTTGGCAATTGTAAAATGTATTTTTTTTTAAGCAATGAAACATTGTGATCATTGCATTGAAAATTAAACAACTTATCCTTCATTTAATAAAAACTAGATACCATGTTGCAATATAAAAGTAAACCTTAACTTATGAGTATATAAAAAGCAAAACAAAATGTTTGAATTTAACTAATTAAATTTGAAGATGATCTGACTGAATTTGATCACTACTTATGAGTAAGAAAAAAAAAAAATGAACTTATAATTTTTATAAATCTGCAATCAGAAAAAACATTAATAATGTGTCTTTTTTTAGTTTGGAAAAAATACGGATTAACAAAATATATTAGACGAATCTTAAATTTGTTAAAATGGTTGATAATTTGTCGAAAATGGTTGATAATTGTTTTTTTAAAAAGTTTATTACCCCCGTCCTTAAACCTGCTAAGCGTAAATATTTTTCACCATTTTTAATTTTTTTCAATAATCAAAGTTTTCTCGTGTGACTTCCCAAACTTCACTTCAACTTCAAAAAAAGTCAGACAAAATATTGTCTATATTGGCCAATATTCGCGGTATAATATTACGCCAATATTGTAAAGTCAAAATCGGCCAATATTGGTAAAATCGTCACATTGAAATATTGGCGCGATAATGTTTAAAATATAGCTCTAATACTGTAAATAATATCGCGCAAATAATGGAGATATAATACTGGCTAATATTAGTGTAGTAAAGTTTAAATATTATCCCGATATATATATGTAACTATATTAAGCCAATGCATTTGAGTATTTTCGATTAAATTTTTATTATTAAAAACATAATATAAAAATATTGTCTTCTACAAATTATTAATAATTAAAATTTATAACAGTTTTCTTGTTTAAATGATACTATAGTGCTAGGCTGCATTATTCTTTTGAGTTAAACAGGTTATAGTCTAAGAGGTGACAATAATCATAGAACACGCTTTAAGAAAAAAATTTATTTATTTAAATTTATTTGCAGTTATTTGAAACAGATACAAATAAAAAAAAGAGGTATAGAATGCTCCAAAACCAAAAAATAAAATCAATGCTATTTAAATACAGTACAAAAAATATGTATATATACATTTTTATAAACTACTGTATTATGCTCTCACTATCAGATAGATCATTGGCTTACTTTATTTTACCAATATTTATTTCATTGCTCAATATTTGGCGTTGCCCAGTTATGGTTCTATTTTTTCTTCCGAAATCTCTATCAATGGCCGTCGCTAGAAAGCTGCCAATTTTTTTTTTTAATGCTTTTTGAATTAAACGAATACAACGATAAATGAATAAAAAATTGACGATATACTAAACACAAATCTACAAAATATTTTTTTAATATTATCACAACATAATTTTGAAAAAAATATTTGTTCAAGTATAAACATTGTAAAATAATTAGCTTTTACTAAAATATTTGTTTATTAAAAGGAAATAGGATGTAGAATTCAAATATCGTGCTTTACCTATATCGACCTAGCAAGTCGTATTTGTTTCCTTCCATACATTGAGTATGAAAAACACACTTCCTTGGTCCTTAGCTGTTTTAAGATGCCGCTCTAAGTTGTTTCTCATCTCCTCCAAACGAAGTAAGAAAGTTCATCTAAAATAAAACAAAACAAATGTAATATAATTGATTGTATTAAAAGTTTAATGGTTCCTCTTATGTGTATGTATTAAACAGGTTTCCATAATGTGATATTCGTATTAAAATATGACATATGGAAGAGTAAAAGCAATTGGTTATAAATAGATGAGGTCAACCTTTTTTGCAGATCAGAACTAGTTTTTTTAAAAAACTGTCATAATGTAACAATAGGAAGAATACCATTCAGAATTTCATACCGCTTTTGAGCTTTTCCTTCCCTTGACCACAATTATACATTAGTATAAATATCTTCAAGATAGGTTGTATTAGCCACAGGAAAAAGCTGTGGTGAATACACCCTACAGATGTCATAGATAACTGTGATCAGTAGTTATTGTTTCAAAAAATACATTGCTAGCTGGGCATAAAAGATAAAAATCACAATAAAATGTAATAGGCATTTATATAAAACATTCTTATATACAACATAATTATAATCAATCATGTATCATATTGTATCATTTGTTTGTATGTTTCTCATGAATGTATCGTATATTTTAAAAATTAGAAACTATGATAATACATGGAGCTGTTTCCAAAAACTGTTTAATAATGTAAATAATGTTAATAATGGGGGACCCCACTATTTACTATTATCCATTCTGAGTATGTACCACCAACAATGATACTCTATTGTTGATCTCTTAGGTAACATTCAATCCAATTGTAGAGTTTGTCATCTATTCTATAAGAAAAGTTTGTCATCTATTATATGATATTTTCTATATTAGTTTTGTTCTCCAAGGCTAATGTCCAAGCGTCAATCTTCACTAAAGTTTATTGCATTTTCAAAGTCGAATTTATATAATATAATATTATTTTCAGCATTACTTAACATGTGATAAGTAAAAATTTGGGTAAAATTAGAAATTGTATAATTTTTTAACGGAATGATCAATTTTAATAATTGCCAGTGTTTATTATACACTAATCTTGTTTATTATACATTAGCAGGGTTATGCTCTTTCGTTACAAATTCAATATTTTTAGCTTTTAGATAACCTTGCACTTTACGCGAATAATGTGACAAAGCTAGATCAGGCCAAAAGACAGTTTTGTCTATTATTATCTCTAATCTAACAAGACATTTTGAAATATACACATTTCATCGACTGCTTCGCCTGACAATGTACTGCTGAAAGATTCCTTTCGTCGAGAATGCAATTCAAACGAGTAATTTTGGCTCAAGTTTGTCTTTTCTTTTTAACTTCACATCATTTGTTGCTATATTTATGTCAGAAGAATAGAATCCAACGTTTCCGGAAATATTAGTGTTGCTCAAATAAAAACACGATTCATCGTCAATAATAACAACTTTTTTCCAAAAAATTGAAACCAATCTACGGCACTTTGAATGAACAGCTGTTTTTTGAGTTGGTGATTTTTATCTTTTGATGAATACAAATTATGGAAAGAAATTGGGGATGAATTGGTTTTACATTTACACATAAAACAAAGAATATTAAAAATAATAATCTCATATATATTAAAAACTTTCATTTCAAATAAAAAAGGCTTGGCATGAGTATAACGGTCTTTAAAATATATAAGACGTGCTACATGCTTCTGCTGACAATAAAGAGGTTTAAAATTTAAACCCGGTTTATGCTTGGTAGATCTTTGCTAAACACTTTAAAATTTTAATTATATTTTTTCAATATGGGTTTCAAATTGCTATACGAAATTTTAACTCAGGTCTAACATAAGTTGTATATAGTTTAGTAAACGAGTCAGTTGACCAAAAAGTATATGTCTACTTTAGCGTACCTAGTTTTTAGTAAGCTTTTGGTTAAGGTTGTCATGTAGTCTTTCCATTTCAGATTATTACTTATGCTAATACCCAGGTTTCATTCCTTTGTTTTTTATTTAAGTTAATGATTGTTTCATCATAAGTTGTATATATAGTTTTTTAGATTATTACTTATGTTGATACCTATATCTCTTACTATATTTACATGATATATATATATTATGTTTTAAGGTATATCATGTATACCTTAAAACATAATGTACATGCATAAATATTTATCCTCTGTAACGGTATCACTCGTATTCTCATTAGCTTATTATTGTGATTGATTAACTTTTAAAATCTAAAATTATGTTTTGATAGAAACATTTTTTTTTAAAATTTCTTTGGCAATGGAACATGGCATGTATTTAATTAAATTTTATTTTAAAATCTTATTGAACATGTGCTGCTGTTGTTTTTATTAAACGCTGCTTTAAAGTCAAATAAAAACTTAACCAAAGTAGTTGCCATGCAACTTATTAGGAGAGTAATTTAGAATTCTTCTGACAAATTAAAGAGAACATCCATTAATATCGATATTGATCAACGATGGCCTAATTAACTATATTCAACTGTTCTATTTTTTTTTTTTTTTATATATTTTGGTTTTTTTGGTAATTTTTTTCTACTTATTAAACAAAAAGATTATGGATGTGGTACCGCAAATATATTTAATTGATTATGCAAGTAAGTTGTCCTACTTTACATCTGAGATATGTTCATAATTGTTATGAACATATCTCAGACAATATACACTCAGATTTACATTTTAGTTAAACCATCACGACTTCCACAGCCACTTTGTCACAAGCATTCAATTGCATTCTAAGATATCTTTATTTAAATCAAGTGTGACTACTTTACCATACGACTCTAGAATGGACCATTCAAGTAAGATGTCTAAATTTATATCTTTTATATAGAACTCCTTTACTTTTAGATAAACCTGTTAATTTTATGACTTATGATTATATTTACCAATTTAATCCTTTTAGGATAGACTTTTTAAAATCAAATTTACAATGCTTTAGTAAATTTTGATTTAAAATAACTTTGTATACATAGTATATCTATATAGTTATTTACATTGTAGCTAACCAATCAGTACTTGCAAAGTCTCCTTTTCTGTAAGCCCAAAAATTAAGTTCTAAAATACCATTATCCACATAACTACTATATCAAAGCACAAACTAATGGATTAATCAAGTATTGCTAAATTTTTACCTTTAATTGCGTGTTAGTACATATATATGATTTTGATATATAAATTTTAATTAATATGTTTGTTGATTAGTTTTTAACTTTCAGAGTTTTAAGAATTTTAAGAATTACAATTTTATTTTTACATGTTTATTTATATTGTAGTAAAACTGTCGGTATCTCCACAACTTTTCAGTTAAATAGAAAGTTTCAATCAAACAGGATACTGAGTGTGTCTTCTGCTACTCAAAATAACGGATAATGGATACTCGGAGTTATCAAACTTTATATATATATATATATATATATATATATATATATATATATATATATATATATATATATATATAAATACATATATATATATATATATATATATATATATATATATATATATATATATATATATATATATATATATATATATATATATATATATATATATATATATATAATATATATATATATATATATATATATATATATATATATATATATATATATATATTTATATTTATATTTATATATATATAAATAAATATAAATATAAATATATATATATATATATATATATATATATATATATTTATATTTATTTATATATATACAAAATTATAGTTTTGTCCTTTGATGTTCACAGTACTTCTAATACAACATTTACAGATTGAATCACGAGGAGAAGCGGTTGTTATTTATTCAAATACAGATTGTATCACGAGAAAAAGTGGTAAAAGTGAAGAAATCTTTTTAATTGAATATTTAGAGATTGTATCACGAGAAGAAGTGGTTTTAATTTAATTAAAACAGATTGAATTACGACAAGAAGTGGTTGTAGTTCATTTAGAAACAGATTGTATTACGAGAAAAAGTGGAAAAATTTTCTGCACTGTAAGATAAAGGCTAAATTAGTAAGTTTACTTTTATACAAAAACAATGTGAGTTAATTGCATCTGCAAGATTGGTATATGTATTTATTTTGTTAAAAATATTCAATTAAGTAACAAATACGTCATATGATTAACCATTTAATAAGTTTGAAAAGTGGAAAAATTTTCTGCACTGTAAGATAAAGGCTAAATTAGTAAGTTTACTTTTATACAAAAACAATGTGAGTTAATTGCATCTGCAAGATTGGTATATGTATTTATTTTGTTAAAAATATTCAATTAAGTAACAAATACGTCATATGATTAACCATTTAATAAGTTTGAAATGATTAAATTTTAAATAAGTCATTTAATCTAGATTTAGGTTTATCTATTTTTTATTTCCTATCTATTTTATTTACTTTCTAACTGTTTTAAAATTTTAAATTTATGAATAGCAATTACAATATTATAACATACTGTAAATATATACAACCTGCTCCATGTCCTGCTGCCTTGTAGGATACGCTTTTTTAGGCAAAGGCTAGGAGAAGTTAACTCCGAATTAAAACACCCCCTGCCTTGGGGCTCTTGGTTGAGTAAAGGCTAGAGATGGTGTCTCGATAAAAATACTCATCTTGGGCAGATGTTACATGCATCCAGCTGCTGTCTTGTAGAAGGCCTCCTAGGCAAAGACTTAAGGGGTAAACAGATTCTATCTGTTGACCAGCCTCGCACCCCTTCCTCATCTATTAGGCTGGCGCAGATGTATTCTTAATACATTGTTTCCAGTTTAGGATGTTGAACGCTGGATCTTCTTGACTCAATGCGTGGGTATTGCTTGTGTCTCTATTTTTATGACTGGGCAACTCATTCTATTATCTCCTAATGAGGGTACAGCTCTAAAACTCAGTTTTATGGTTCTGAGGCCGGCTGGTAGTCAGGTTTCCCGAACTCTGTGGTAGCTCTCAGAGAGGCTGATTCCATCAACAGCCGAAAAATATCAGAGTACTAACAGTGCCATGTTGCGCATGGATGGTGTCCCTGTTTGTACTTTTGGTGTGCATTGCAGAGGCCACATTTGGAGCCCTTTGTTACGGCTTAGGGTTTATTAAGAGTAATGAGGCTATTGCTTAGTTGTTAAATAGTGTACTGAGTACTATCTATACTTGAGTCAAGTTCTTTATAAATTTAAAATGACTAAAGTACCTAAAACTAAAAAACACAAAAAACCATTGTCATCACCAAGTTCTCTAAACCTATCATTTACTAATATTCGTGGTCTTCGAAGTAACTTTTCTTCTGTTGAGTCTTATCTCTTGCAAAGTTCACCAGACCTACTTGCTCTTTGTGAGACTAATTTAAGTTTGGCTGTCCCATCTTGTGATCTTAGTGTTGATGGTTATCTTCCTTTAATTCGTAAAGACTCCAATAATCACATGCTTGGCCTGGGCATCTACATTCGTAAGAACTCACCCATTTGTCGTGAAACTAGGTTTGAATCTACAGACTATTCATTTATGTGCTTTCGTTTAGCACAACTTCACTCTATCGCCTTTCTCTTTGTTCTATATCGCTCTCCTTCATCCCAAGATTGCACTATTCTTGATGTTATTTCTGATCAAATTGACCAAGCCCTCTCTCTTTATCCATCGGCCAATATCGTCGTTGTTGGTGACTTTAATGCCCATCACACCGATTGGCTTGGCTCTAGTGTCAGTGACTCTGCTGGCGATAAAGCCCTCAACTTTTGCCTTTCTCAATCTCTAACTCAAATAGTCAACTTTCCAACTCGTTTTCCAGACAACCCTAATCATTTACCTTCTCTACTCGACTTATGTCTTGTTTTGGATCCTAGTCAGTGCTCAATTTCTCCACATTCACCCTTAGGTACTTCTGATCACGGTTTGATCTCTCTAAAACTATTATCAAATTCTTCTACTTCATCAGAATCCCCCTATCATCGTACCACATACAACTACCTTAAAGCTGACTGGGACTCTTTCCGTGATTTTCTTCGTGATGGCCCTTGGGTAGAAATCTTTCGTCTTCCTGCTGACAAATGTGCTTCTTACATAACTTCGTGGATTCAGGCTGGCATGGAATCTTTTATTCCCTCTCGACGATTCCAGGTTAAGCCTCACTCTTCTCCTTGGTTTTCCTCACATTGCGCTGCAGCAATTTCTAATCGAAACCGTTACTTCCATATCTATCAGCAAAACAATTCTCCAGAAAACAGACATCTGTTCACTATCGCCAGAAACCATTGTAAAAAGGTTTTGTCTGACGCCAAAACACGCTATTCCCAGGTCATTAAATCTCGTATCTCATCACAAAAATTAGGCTCTCGAGACTTCTGGAGAATCTTTAACAGTATCAATAATAAGGGCAAATCTGTTATTCCTTCTCTCTTGTATGGTTCAGACTTTGTCACCTCACCTAAAGACAAAGCTGAATTGTTTGCTAAGAACTTTTCATCAATATCATCTCTTGATTCCACTAGTTGCGTTTTACCTGACATAGCCGTCAAACAGGTTGATCCCTTGCTTGACATTCGCATCACTTCAGCTTCTGTATCTAAAGTAATTTCCTGCTTAGACTCTTCAACAGCTTGTGGTCCTGACAACATTCCTGTTGTAGTTTTGCAGAGGTGTTCTCCGGAGCTTTCATCCATACTTTCTAAACTATTTAACAAGTGCTTATCAGAGTCTTGTTTTCCATCATGCTGGAAAGCAGCATCTGTTATCCCTATTTTCAAAAATTCCGGAGAGCGATCTGATTCATCTAACTACCGTCCCATTAGTCTTCTTCCTGTCATAAGCAAGGTTTTTGAATCTTTAATTAACAAACACTTAATCTCTCATCTTGAATCAAATAACTTACTTTCTGACCATCAATATGGATTTCGGTCTTCTCGTTCTACAGCTGATGTGCTAACAGTAATAACCGATAGGTTTTACCGTGCATTAGATAGAGGTGGAGAGGTTAAGGCTATCGCACTTGACATTTCTAAAGCTTTTGATAAAGTTTGGCATGCTGGTCTTCTCCATAAGCTTTCTTCTTATGGTGTAGCTGGTAACGTCTTTAAGATTATTGAGTCCTTTCTTTCCAATCGTAGTATAAAAGTTGTCCTCGATGGACAACACTCTTCTTCACATCCTGTAACTTCAGGGGTTCCTCAAGGTTCAATCCTTGGCCCTATACTCTTTTTAATTTACATTAATGATCTTCCAGATATTCTCACATCTAAGGTGGCATTATTCGCTGACGACACTACCATTTACTCTTGTCATGATAAGAAGCCTACACTCTCTGATTGCTTGGAGGGGGTATCTGAGCTTGAAAAGGATCTCACTTCTGCTACAGCATGGGGCTCACAGTGGCTGGTGAACTTTAATTCAGATAAAACTCAATTTTATTCGGCCAATCGTTATCGTAATAATTTAGATCTTCCTATATTTATGAATGGTAATGTACTAGATGAGTCATCTACCATTCATCTTCTAGGATTAACTCTTACTTCTGATCTTTCTTTTAAACCGTATATCAAATCCATTGCAAAATTAGCATCTGCTAAGGTTGCATCTCTTTATCGAGCTCGACACTTTCTTACTCCAGATTCTATTCTCTATCTCTATAAATCTCAAATCCGTCCCTGTATGGAATACTGTTGCCACATCTGGGGCGGATCTTCCAATGATGCTCTTTCTCTTTTAGACAAGGTGCAAAAACGAATTGTAAACATAGTTGGACCTGCTCTGGCAGCCAATCTCCAACCTTTGTCACATCGTCGTAATGTTGCTTCTCTTTCTCTTTTCTACAAATACTATAATGGGCACTGCTCTAAAGAGCTAGCGTCCCTTGTGCCATCTACTAAAATTCATTCTCGTGTTACTCGCCATTCAATTAAGTCTCATCCTTTTTCTGTGACTGTTCCTAAGTGCTTCAAAAACTCTTATTCTTCTAGTTTTTTTCCTCGAACATCAGTTCTTTGGAATTCGCTTCCTTCATCTTGCTTTCCTGATTCATATAATTTGCAATCTTTTAAGTCATCAGTCAATCGTTATCTTGCTCTACAGATTTAGTCTTTTCTCTTCCAGTAACTTCCAACTCTTATAGTGGTTGCTTGCAGCCTTGTTGGAAGTGAAGATGTTAAAAAAAAAAAAAAAAAAAAAAAAAAAAATATATATATATATATATATATATATATATATATATATATATATATATATATATATATATATATATATATATATATATATATATATATTATTGACCTTCACACACACACACACACACACACACACACACACACACACACACACACACACACACACACACACATACACACACACACACACACACACACACACACGCACATAAATTTATTACAAAAAAATAATTTTGCAATAAAAAAGATTTTTTTATGTCTTTTATTTTATATAGCATTTTGTTTAATGCAATGTTATAAGTAATAGTTTAATGCAATGTTATAAGTAATAAACGAATTAATAAGTTAAACTAGATCTGCTACATCACGTTATGTTAAGAATAGTTAAACAAGATTAAAGTAAAACTCACACAATAAGTAATGCTGAAAATAGTAAAAATTATAAAAATGCGTCTTTGAAAATATAATAAACTTTTGTGGGGATTGATGTTGGGCATTAGCCTTGGAGAATAAAACTGATATAGAAAATTTATATCAGATATATAGAATTCTTTCAACAAATTTCACAACTCCTACTTCTAAAATTAAAAGTATATAGAATAAATGACTAACTCTACAATTGGATTTTGATGTTACCTAAGAGATCGACATTAGAGTATCATTGTTGGTGGTACATACTCAGAATGGGATAATAGTAAATAGTGGGGTCCCCCATTATTAAATTTTGTGATATATAAAAAAGATTTTTCTGATTTGGTTTTAGATTTTGTATCTGTATTTACAGATGATACTAAGTTATACAGCTTGCTTTTTGATAGCTCACCATTGCAATAACCTGCAATAAGTATGGACATTATAGCAAACTGGGAAGAACTATGAAAACTAAGTTTTAATGTAAAAAATGTAAAGTTATACCCTTAGGACCAACAAATGCAAAATTTTCCCTTAGGAACAACAAAGCCCTTAGGACCAACAAATAAAAGTTTCATTTATATACTCGTTTATAAAAATCTCAATACTTCAATTAATATTAAAAAATCTATTGTCAATAAAGGTATCTTCATTGACAGTAATTTGACTTTTATTTTGTATGTACTAAGAATAACACCGCTAAAAAAGTTGTATGAATGATCAAAAGATCATTTGTCAATCTCAATATCTTGACATTTTGTACTTTGTTTATTTTCCTTGTTCGTCCTCACCTTGGTTCTAGCAGCTCTGTCTACTATCCTAGACTTTAAAAAGATCAACAATTAATTTAAAATGATCTATGCAAGTCTAGTAAATTTGTTTTTGGCCAGACTGGACTTACTTATAACCAAAGACTACTGAGACTAAATTTAACTAGCATGAGCTATCTTTTCTTATGTAATGACATGGGAGAAACTTACAAATGCATTAAAAATCTTTATAATTGTAGTTGCAACCCTTTTGTTTCCTTATAAAATACCATTCAGTAATTTATCTATCAACACCTGTGTCAGAATGACGTCATCGCACAGGCCATTATATTTATTATTGTAAATACAGATCATTAAGTAGTTAATCTGAGTGTAATAGCATGTGTGTAAATATGGCCACTTCTTAATATATGATTATATATTTAGATAATATTTATTCCTCTATTTATGACTTACTCCAACTCCGCTCCTACAACATGCGATTATGCTTACAGTTTTGAAAAAAATGTTTTGTAAGACAGATGCCGGAAAAAACTTTTCTAATATGGAATTCACAAATTTGTAGAATAGTCTACAATCTGAAATAATGTTCAACATCTGTCACGACATTAAAAAAACATCTAGATGCATCTTGGGTTCATCAAATGTACAATTGCAAAATGGTAAATATTTAATTAGAGCCCCAAGTTGTTTATCTTCCCTAATGTTATATTTAAATAAGAAATTATTATCATAGAAACCTTTCCAAACCGCGCAAACTTTAAAAATCACTTTTTTTTACTAACCAATAATTAAACTCTACTTGTAATAAAAAGCGATTACATTAAACATAAGAAACGAATCTCAATAATTTTTAGACTAATATTTTCAGTTAAAAAAAAAAAAAAAAATCTCAAAAAAGAAAGTTATTCTGAAATTTTTTTAAATCAAAAATTTATTTGTGATTATTTTTAGCTGATGCACCGTTAAACTGAAGGTGGTAATAAAGTTTACAAAATTTGCTCTGGCTGAATTTTTGAATAATAAAACAATATGTGTGCTATGAATGTAATCTGTTTTTCATGGCATTTTAATGAAAGTTTGATGTATTTGCCAAATCACTTGCAAGCATCTTGCCTTTAAACTGCCATACTTAAAGTCACGCTTTTAAAAGTAACTGTAAGCAGAAAATAAGAATTTTTTTGGTAATTGTTTTATTTACAAGATTGTTTTTGTTTTATTTACAGTATTGTCTTTGTTTTTTATCTAAACAGCTATGTGTGACTCAAATATAGTAAATGTTAATTGTTTAGTATGGTTTCATCTCTTCTTTATACTTTTTTTTGACAGTTATGAGACTGCTTTAGAACAGAGTTATCTGTGCTTTCAGCTTAAAAGAATGCAGGTTTGCAAAAAAAGTGACACTGATGAGATTGTCTCTCAGTTTCTCAAAGATTGAAAAAATCTTTAGTGTTTTAGGGTTAAGTGATTCTATTAGAGCTTTGCTTGCCTATTTCTTTCGATTTATTGAAATTTTTTGCCGGTTATAGATGAAAAAAGATCTTTTAAACCTAGAAGAAGAATGATGCGGCAAAGACACCTTATGAGTCAATAGTATATATCAGTGAATTGATATTAGTTAATAGTTTTTGGAAACAGTACCATGTACTATTAAAGTTTCTAATTTTTAAAATATATGATACATTAATATGAAACATACAAACAAATGATAAAATATGATACGTGATTGACTATAACTATGTTGTATATCAGAATGTTTTATATAAATGCTTGTTACATTTTATTGTGATTTTTATCTTTTATGCTCAGTTAGCAATGTATTTTGTTTAGCAATGACTACTAGTCTCAGATATCTTTGACATCTGTAGGGCGTATTCACCGCTACAGATGTCATGATCTATTTATAACCATTTGCTTTTACTCTTCCATAATGTCATATTTTAATAAGAATCACATTATGGAAAACCGTCTAATACATACACATGAAGAACCATTCTACTTTTAGTACAACCAATTATATTACATTTGTTTTCTTATTTTAGATTAACTTTCTTGCTTCGGATGGAGGAGATGAGAAACAACTTACAGCGTCAATCTTATTACTGGTAATAGCCAAAGAAGTATGTTTTTCATACTTAGTGTACGGAATGAAAAAAAAACCTCTTTCAAGGTCGTTATAGGTAAAGCACACTATTTGTATTCTACATCGCATTTCCTTTTAATAAATAAATATTTTAATAAAAGCTAATTACTATTCAATATTTATAAGTGAAAAGTTATATATTTCAAAATCATATTGTTATGATATTTAAAAAACATATTGTAGAGTTGCGTTTAGTCGTTTATCGTTGTATTCGTTTATTTTAAAATCGCTACTGACAAAAGTATAAAAGAAAAAACTGGCAGCTTTCTGGCCACGGTCATTAATAGATATTATGAAAGAAAAATAGAACCGTAACTGCAACTTACGTTACTAGCAACTTACCACGGCTATCTTAAAACAACTAATGGCTAAAAAAGTATGCTTGATATACTCTATGTATGGCAGAAAACAAAAGAAATCATTTTCGCCTCTTACAAGGTGCAAGGTGGTATCTTCGTATTTAGTTGAATTAATAAGTTTGATAATTTTTGATTACATTTTGTTCATGTCTTGTTTAACATTATTAGCTTAAAATTTTTTTGCGGCTGCCATAAAAAAAGTTTGAAAACGCTAATGACAAAAGCATAAAAAAAAGAATCAGCAGCTTTCTGGCAACGGCCATTGATAGAGAAGGCGGAAGAAAGAATAGAACCGCAATTGAGCAAAGCCCACTATTGAGCGATGAGAATGAATGTCGCCAAGATAATGAAAATCAATGCCCACTATTTGATAGTGAGAGTGTAATGCTGTAATATATATATATATATATATATATATATATATATATATATATATATATATATATATATATATATATATATATATATATATATATATATATATATATATATATATATATATATATATATATACATATATATATATATATATATATATATATATATATATATATATATATATATATATATATATATATATATATATATATATATATATATATATATATATATATATATATATATATATATATATATATATATATATATATATATATATATGTATATATATATAAGTATATATATATATATATATATATATATATTTATATTTATATATATGTATATATATATAAATATATATATATATATATATATATATATATATATATATATATATATATATATATATATATATATATATATATATATATATATATATATATATATATATATATATATATATATATATATATATATATATATATATATAAATATATATATATATATATATATATATATATATATATATATATATATATATATATATATATATATATATATATATATATATATATATATATATATATATATATATATATTTATATTTATTTGTATCAGTTTAATATAACTTCTAATAAATTCATTATTAGATTTTAAAAAGTCTTAATTTTTCAAAGCGTTCCTAGATTATTATCGCTTTCTAGACTTCAACTCAAGTTATATACAATTATAGTCTAAACTATATACAAAAATATAAGCAGCCGTGGCGCAGTGGTAGCGCACATGCCTCAGAAACGTAAGATCCGTGGTTCGAACCCCACCTCCCAAGTTTTGCGACATTGATCAGGAAGGAGGCGTGAACTTCCCATTAAATGCTCTTCCGCGGTGCTCTGTAATAAGACCGTAAGGACTTCTTGGGGCACCTTAATTAACTTAAAAATATATATATATATATGTATATACATATATATATATATATATATATATATATATATATATATATATATATATATATATATATATATATATATATATATATATATATATATATATATTTCGGGTTAAACAACTCATCCCCTCTGTATTATATTGTTCTATCTTCAAATGTAATAACTAAAATGTTCTATCTAATATATAAAATAAGTACAAAAAGTATATATAAATATAAAAACATAAAATGTTCTTCCTGATATAATATATTAAATTACATAGAACATTGTATTTATTTATATATAATTTTTTTTTGTATTTTACATATTAGGTAGAACATTGTGTTAAATTTTTGACCTATTTAAATGCCCAATTTTTTTGTATTTATTTTTCATATTAGATAGAACTGTCATCTTCTAGAGGCCCTGCCGGTTAAATATCCAATGTAAATTTGTCTTGTAGATATTCTGGCAAATAAGTAAAAAAATTATAAAAAAATAACATTTTATTGTTTAACACTTAAAACAATATAACTATATTACGCCAATATTGGCCAGTATTGTATTTACAATATTGTGTCAATATTGTAAACGACATCGCGCCAATATTGTAATGTCAACATTTTGCCAATATTAGCCTATATTGACTTAACAATATTGGCGCAATATTGTACCGCTAATATTGGCCAATATTGGCAAAATGTTAGGATTTCAATATCAGCGGGATATAGTTAATAATATTGCGCCAATATTGTAGAAAATTTCGCGCCAATATCGCGCCAATATTGTTTGTTGCTTGCGTATGTTCAGGAAGGGCACTGCAGTTTCCTGCAGTTATGCAACTTATCAACCCAAAACTGCAATAACTACAAGTTTTTTTAATAAAGTTTTTATTATATAAATATTATATATTTTACAGAGTTTTAAAGAAAAGTTATTTATCAATTGTTACCATAATTACTCAATGTACACTCTACAAATGTGCAATCTTCTATAAGTTGTGAAATGAATGAATTATATGAATAAAATGAAGATGTTTATTGAGTTATTTTTATTATTTTTAGAAAAGAGATTGTATGACTTCGGTGTCCGCAATACGATATCGTGCATTGATTTCCATCTTAAAATGGCTCCCTTCTGTATAGGTGGAAATAGGTTATGTCTTTTTTTAAAATTCTTAAAACGAAGAAGTTTAATCGGTTTAAACAAAGATGACGATGATCATTATCGAGCCGATCATGATGACTAATACGATAATGCATTTAATAATAAATATCATGATTTTAATTGTATCTTAGACTTACATAAATAAAAAAATTATTTGTTTATTGTTTGATTTGTTTATGAGTATTTAGAAAAGGCGTTCAGCGTTGACCTTTTTTTTACGGTGCTTATTTAAAGCAGGTTAAATAAAAGAAAAGTTTGATTCGTTTATCTATATTTTTTATTTATTTATGCTTCTTTAAACAAGCGCCGTAAAATAAAGTTTAACGTCGCGAAGATTTAAACGAAAGATTTAGGAGTTAAAATAGCATTTCAAACGAAACATTTAGATATGGTTTAAATGGAACATTCAATTGACCTACGTTCTAAATCGAAATTATATTAAATCTAAACATTTAGAACGAACATTAACTAAACGTTGATTAAATGTTCGAATGCCTGTTGGGTGATAAAACGATTTAAGTTTAGTTTTGTGCGCGCTTCCCCATTACACATTTGCGTAACTTTTATGGCAGTGGATAAACGAATAATATAGTTATTTTAATTGTTGTTTATTTAACATATATCAAATTTTATATATTATTCTAATATTTTTACCAACTTTCATGGAGATATTATCTGTTTGTTGTTTCCAGGAAAAGTTTTTATCTACAAGAACTACAATAAAATTTCATAAATTTTCATTTTTTAGTATGTTATTACCATTAAAGATGTCGGAATTCGTATTTGGTAAACATTTATTTCCGTATATTAGCTAAAAAAAAGTGTCCGTTTGGTTTTATCAATATTTAGGGACAATTTTTTTCTTAAACCAAAATCAAATTTTATTTAATTCTTGTGTCATATTATTAAAAAAATGTATTTATGTTTTTATGATATAGGAATAGATTTGTGTCATAAGAAAAAATATAGTAGTTAATTTAGAAGCATTGTTAAGGTGATATATGTATACTAAAAAAATAGGGGCTCAATTATGGATCTCTGTGGGGCACTATGTGTTACACTCATTAATAAAGACAAAGAAGAATCTTGAATATTAACGAACTGCTTAAGATTACTAAGATAGCTTTTGAACCAGCTTAGGGATTTATCTTTAATGCCATAGAGTTTAAATTTTTTTAATGAAATATAGTGACTGTCAGTGTCAACAACTTTTGACAAATCGATGAACACTCATTTTCGCGTTTTTTCTTTGGTATTGTGGTTTATCCTACTTTGGCTAATTGCCATATTCAGGCCTTAATCAAAGACCTATGAAGACGATAGGCCTTACTCAAAGACTTATGAAGACGAGTTCAGCTCATTAAAGAGCATCATAACACGCTTCGCAGATCAAGAGTAAGTCGAGTTTAGCATTACTGTATTGCACTAGCTGTTAGAATGTGCAATTTATGCTCAACTTTAAGTTCACTTGATAGGAACCTTGTTACTTGTAAAGTTTTACATAATTTGTGTTTTTTGCGTTGAATACCGCAATTGTACCTTTTCTTAAAGTTTAAATTTTTTTCAAATTGAGGGTGTAAAAATAATTACCTTTCTTTTTTACTGTTATTTAGAAACTTTGCTTGTTGATTAGTTGAAAAAAATCTGATGGAAAAATTACCTAATCGCAGTGAAATGCCAACAGTTGCGTGGATATATGATCATACCTTTAACACTTTACCTTGACATATGATCATTTCATTATACTTTACTTCATCAACACATTGTTAAAGTTTTGAAACTTAGTGCTTAATGAAGTATACTGAACTAAAAATTGAATTAATATTTATTCCAAACTCCTTTATTTAAAATTATTATTCTGTAGTTTATAACACTTTAAACAAATAAGTAAAAGCTATTAAAAGTACAAACAATTTGTTATTTAACATTTGCAATTTGTTTAGCGCGACCACTTGCATTTCTTAACGTTACGACAAAGTGTTTTACAATTTCTAGCCAAACAAATTTCTTCACATATTCTTTCATCCTGCCATCTGCATTGTCCTGGAATCGATTTTATTGATCGCCAATGTATGAAATAAGGACTAAATGTGTTGTGCAAGCCAAAAAGTGCAATGCAAACCAAAACTAAGAGCAGCTTCTTAAGCATTACTCTTTCATTTGCCTATAAAATATAAAATCAAATAAATTCATATTATGTCTGAATCACCAACATTTTTTCTATTTATTATACAATAAATTCATAAGTAAATTAAAAGTTATTTGCAACATCAAAAACTTATTTTAAAAACGGTTTGTTAACACAAAATAGTTCAGGTTACACAAATAATATAAGGTGGAATAAAATATTAATTTTTTTTGTCGCAACAGTTTATGCTAGATTCTTTACAAAAATTACCTAGTTTTACAAATAAATAAAAATGCTAACTTACAATTTATTTCAAGTTAAAAAAAAATAAAACGATTTTGAAACAAACTGATTATATATAAGCAAATAAAAATTTAAATGCAGCAATCGATTTTAAACCAATATTTAATAAAATAGTAGTATTTGAAATCAATAGAGAATGGCATTATGATAAAAATAATGTCTTCATATTTAGCTCAATTTGATTGGACACGGAGTTTCAAATGTGATTATCTTCTATTTAATTAAACAAACAAGACTGGTAAAACTATGGATAAGTATTAGTTTTAATAAAAACAACCAACATTTTTTATTTGTTTTTTTAGTTTTTTTGTAAAGTTTTTTTTTTTTTTTACATAAAGTCAGAGTTGTTATTCCTTTAAAAATTAAGTTCTTGGTCTTCATCTTGAATATTTTGGCCTTGGCCTTGGTTGTTTTGGTCTTAACCTTTCACCTTTTCTTTCCTATTTTTTTTTGTGTTTTCATTTTAAAAATTTTACCACAGTTGATTTTATTTACAAGATTCTTGTTTACTTAAATTTTAAATACGTAGAATTTCGTCTTATATGTCACGGTTTAAACTGCTGTTTTTCTCTAGTCATTTTTTAGCAATAATCAAAGACATGATTGGTGAATAGGAAATTTATTACGTCTAGATATCACTATGATCCGTTGAAATTTGGAT